CGACGTCAGCGCAGTCACGTGAGTGATCAGGACATGGACACAGATTTCTCTGAAAGCATGGGCCTTGCCAATGCATGCATCATGGTGCTAATGGGGCAGGTTCATGCTGTGGAACGCCGATTCTGGGCTCGGGAAACAAGCACAGACTGATGGGACTGCACAGTGTTGCAGGTCTGGGACGATTCCCAGTGGCTGCGAAACTTTTGCATGCATAAGGGCACTTTCATGGAACTTTGTGACTTGCTTTCCCCTGCCCTGAGGCACATGAATACCAAGATGAGAGCAGCCCTCACAGTTGAGAAGCGAGTGGCGATAGCCCTGTGGAAGCTTGCAACGCCAGACAGCTACCGGTCAGTTGGGAATCAATTTGGAGTGGGCAAATCTACTGTTGGGGCTGCTGTGATGCAAGTAGCCCACGCAATCAAAGATCTGCTGATATCAAGGGTAGTGACCCTGGGAAATGTGCAGGTCATAGTGGATGGCTTTGCTGCAATGGGATTCCCTAACTGTGGTGGGGCCACAGACGGAACCCATATCCCTATCTTGGCACCGGAGCACCAAGCCGCCGAGTACATAAACCGCAAGGGGTACTTTTCAATAGTGCTGCAAGCTCTGGTGGATCACAAGGGACGTTTCACCAACATCAACGTGGGATGGCCGGGAAAGGTACATGACGCTCGCATCTTCAGGAACTGTGGTCTGTTTCAAAAGCTGCAGGAAGGGACTTTATTCCCAGACCAGAAAATAACTGTTGGGGATGTTGAAATGCCTATATGTATCCTTGGGGACCCAGCCTACCCCTTAATGCCATGGCTCATGAAGCCATACACAGGCAGCCTGGACAGTAGTCAGGAGCTGTTCAACTACAGGCTGAGCAAGTGCAGAATGGTGGTAGAATGTGCATTTGGACGTTTAAAGGCGCGCTGGCGCAGTTTACTGACTCACTTAGACCTCAGCGAAACCAATATTCCCACTGTTATTACTGCTTGCTGTGTGCTCCACAATATCTGTGAGAGTAAGGGGGAGACGTTTATGGCGGGGTGGGAGGTTGAGGTAAATCGCCTCGCTGCTGGTTACGCACAGCCAGACACCAGGGCGGTTAGAAGAGCACAGGAGGGCGCGGTAGGCCTCAGAGAAGCTTTGAAAACCAGTTTCATGACTGGCCAGGCTACGGTGTGAAAGTTCTGTTTGTTTATCCTTGATGAAACCCCCCGCCCTTTGGTTCATTCTACTTCCCTGTAAGCTAACCACCCTCCCCTCCTCCCTTCGATCACCGCTTGCAGAGGCAATAAAGTCATTGTTGCTTCACATTCATGCATTCTTTATTCATTCATCACACAAATAGGGGGATGACTACCAAGGTAGCCCAGGAGGGGTGGTGGAGGAGGGAAGGAAAATGGTCATGTACAGCGTGAGGATCCCATGAGACAGACTGTCCTGGAGAAAGAGGTATTGCAGGCTTCTAGGCACAAACTTGTATGGGGTAGAACAGGAAATTCAGACAAGGACGTGAGCCTTACGGTATGAGAAACAAGGGGAAGGATTTTCCTGCAGAAACAGTTACTGTGCAGCTGCTACACTTGAGAACAGACTCCTTAGTGCTGGATGAAGCGTGACAGTATATGAGGAAGGTACCTGTTGGAAATGGAATCTTACATCTTGTGATCCTTGCTAGTGATGCAAGGTCCCATCTCCGGTCAGGTATCATGTGGGCTGAGGGATTCGTCCATCAGAACAAACACGGGTTGCTTAAATGACAGAACAATTTTAACTCCATCTCTCTGCTTAGGCTTTGCTGCAGTGTGTATTGAACATACCTTATCATTCAGTTTTACTTTGAAAACAAGAGTTTTAAAAATGTGCACATCCTGTGGCTTGTACCTGAACTGCCAAGCTCTAGTGTTGTTGCCGGGACTGGAGGGTGAAGATGTTTGCTTAAAAAGGCTGGATTTCTAGCAGATATTCATGCAGTTCCACTTCAGAAGACAGCAAGTGAAGAGACTCCTTCCCAGAGACTCCTGAAAAAGCTGGTGTTTCATACAAGGGGCCTAATTTGCAAAGGGCCCTCAACCATGCATCCATTTGCGCACATGCAACTTTGCACATACGAATCACTTGCATGTTTCGATTGGTATGCACTAACATTCGCTTGTAAACATTATACTCTGTACTGCATTTGCTCTTGTTCCGTGCATGCAAGCACGGTTGAAGATGTAAAGAATGGCAGGTGGTCTTGTGGGTCAGATAGAGGACTGGGATTCAGGTGATCTGAGTTCAATTTCTAGCTCTGCCTGTGACTTTGGGCAAGTCACTTCATTTTCTGTGTCTCACTTTCCCAGCTCTAAAATAGAACTAATAGCCTACCTCACAGGGGTGCTATCCCATTATGTTTAGACAGGGCTCAGATACTAGTGTAATAAGAGTAAGCATTGAAGAGTACTACCTAGAGAAATTTTCTTTCATTGTGTGCACAAGACAAAGTACACAAAAACTGTGCAAGCAGTTGCACACCAACTGATGCAACATTTGGTCCTAAGATATACACATAAAATAGTTATTGTGCCTGCCACACTGTTGGTTTAAAAATTGCCAGCCAGGTTCGCACTACAAAGTACATTAAGCCAGTGCATCAGATTTACAGCTCTGTGTAAATAGTGGTTAAACCTCACAATGGTTTGGTTTATTTTTCTTAGATATGTTTCTACTGCACTATTTAAATCCATTCCATCATCCCACTGTGGTTTTTGTTTGTTCTTCGATTTTTGTTAGCTATATAATAACAACAACAACAAACCAACAAGAATAATAATAATAATAATAATAAATTAAGACATATTGGCAGACAGATTATAACCCAAAGAGAAAAATGATCAATTCCTTGGTTTGTCTGTTTAGACCAAGTGAATTCCATTTGGCAGAGCTATGTATCAATAGTACACCTATCAGAGACCAGCACCAGGACATCTCCATGTTTCCTCAGAAGGTAACCACAGAGAAGATCTGAACAGATGGCAGAAACAATCCTGCTCAAGGGAAAACTGGGATAATAATAATAGTTATGCATACATTAAAAAATGTTTGAATTGATACATCTGTGCTGTGGTGAATTCTACCCTCTTCTTTCCAGAATTTGTACGCACTAATATACTTTTTAGGGGGTCTTTTAGCTGTATATTAAGATCAAACATGGCAAAATTAATTCACAAATTTGATGTGTTGATGAAGTGTTATGAAGACTATTAGCCTATCTATGTGGAATCAATTAAACAATCAAGAAGCAATTTATAGACACAGCTTAAATGTATAGATATTTAGTAATTTAATTAAGAGGAACTATCTTGGCCATGCTTATTTAACTTTACTACTCTCTAGCTCCCACCTGAAGCTTTTTTATACAGTCTTCCATCCTGTTTTACAAACTTTAATGACCTGATTCTATAATCCTTAGTCACACAGGTGCTCCCCATTGATGTGAAACTATTTGTGTGTGAAAGGGTTACAGGACTGGGAACTTAAACAGATAGGAAAAGAACACTGAGATCAAAACATCTATGTCTGAAATGGTTTAACAGCACTCAGCAACAAGATTTCAGATAGGAAGGTAAAGAATATTCTATTCAGTTGAAAGTTCAGGGGATGTTTTAGGAATGTGGAAGGTAATTTCTTGAGCTGGAATTTGACCAGGTTACTCGAGTTAACACCCCTACTCTGGCACAAACTTGCTAAGGGATGTTCAATGTCTCAAGAGTAGATGCAACTTTAGCCAGTACTAAACCAGCCCTCGAGCACAATGCTGGAGATGCTGTCTGTTGAGGGACACACAAACCAAGCCTGCTTGCATGTTTGCAATTATAATAAATTAAATAAAAAAGAAAAGGAGTACTTGTGGCACCTTAGAGACTAACCAATTTATTTGAGCATGAGCTTTCGTGAGCTACAGCTCACTTCATCAGATGTATACCGTGGAAACTGCAGCAGACTTTATATACACACAGAGAATATGAAACAATACCTCCTCCCACCCCACTGTCCTGCTGGTAATAGCTTATCTAAAGTGATCATCACTTTAGATAAGCTATTACCAGCAGGACAGTGGGGTGGGAGGAGGTATTGTTTCATATTCTCTGTGTGTATATAAAGTCTGCTGCAGTTTCCACGGTATACATCTGATGAAGTGAGCTGTAGCTCACGAAAGCTCATGCTCAAATAAATTGGTTAGTCTCTAAGGTGCCACAAGTACTCCTTTTCTTTTTGTGAATACAGACTAACACGGCTGTTCCTCTGAAATAAATTAAATGATGGTGAAAAACTGATAAATAGTATTCTGAAATCATGTACCTTTACAAATTCCTATTATCTCTGTAGTTTTATAGCATGTAGGTACTTTTATAATAAAGTAATGTAGCTAGAGCATATGGATAGGTGCCTGTTTAGAGTGTATAAATCCAAATAAATAAAATTATATAAAACAATACAAAAGTATACAGAGTAAAATAAATAATGAAATCTTAGCAAAGACTTTAAAAAAAAAAAAGAAATGTAATGCCCAGTTAATTCTGTAGCAATCTAAAGCTGGGCAGGCCAGAGAAGCAAAATTACAAGCAATAAAAAACTTTTCTATTCCTAAGCTGTTGTTATCCTCTAGCTGTTTACTGGCCTTTGTGAAATGCAGTGGTAGTCTCATTCCAGTCCCTAGGGGACGGACCCTTTTATCACAAACACTTTATGTAGTATTGGTTGCAGGTTCAAGCCATATATGTGTAAATGTTAGTATTGAGACTGTCTTTAAGGGTCAAATCTTTCTCACACTGATTTAAGAAGGGGCATGATGGAGCCCTAACTAGAAAAGTATAGTAATTATGAAAGCATGACAAATTATCAAGATTTTAAAATTTTTATCTACCATTAAATCTCTCCCCATTATTATCGTGGCAATTTTGCCACCCCTTTGTCCTTTCATATTTAGCTTTTGGATGATAAAAGGCAGAAGCATTTTAATCTCTTGCATAAAAGACAATTTATTTCTTGTCTCATTTACAAAAGAACGATATACATCCACTGGAGTCACAAACAGTTGAAAAATCTAATAAAACATTATAATTTAAATACTGTACAAGAAAAAACTGTCTATTTCTCCACATTTAAATTTAGTGAAGGTAACAGAAGGTCTGAATCTCATTTCCAATTAAAAGTATTAATTTAAGGCTTGAGATCCTGAACCTCTGAGGAAAAATAAATTCATAAATCCCAAGTTGAGGATTGGCTGTGCAGCAGCATTTCATGTGAGTTGGTTTCAACATATTGATTTGTGCTCTTTTTGTTTTTATATATATCAGTACTGGCAATCAAAGCTGTTTTCCGAATATCATTAAATTCTAATAGGTCAACTGAGTAATGCAGTGAGCAGGTAATGTGCACCCCGAAACACAAACTAGACTCATCATATTGCTTTTTCTCTCCTTCAGCAGAATACCTGCCTCTCCCTAGGGGCTCATATAAATCTATTCAAAGGATGTTAAATGAAATCAGACATTTTGTCCATCTCCAAGAGGAAATTCAAAAGTCTACAAACTGAATGATGCCGCATCTATTCCAAACCCATATTTTATCTTTCTTCAATTTTGTCTGGATCAGAATATAGTACTGATCTCCCATTTCTGGGAATTTTCCCCATTTGAAATACTTCTCACACTGAATGTATATACTGAAATATCACAGATTTCATGGGGCTTCAAGTTTCATTCTTCTGCCTGCTAATCTTGCATGTTTTCTTTAAATCTGGAGAGCTCTGAATGGGATTTTTCTTGTTTGGAATTTAAAAATGAACCTCAAGGTATTCAGTCTGGCCTAGTCTGAGACTTGGTGTATTTCCACATATAATGTGTTAAAGCAATTGTCTGCTGCAAAGCTGTGGTTTTCACAGTGTGATACGTTTTGTGTGTCTTTGAGCTGGCAATACTCAGCTTTCAGACACTTTTTTTTTGGCACTTAATAGTTCCCAAAGGCCAGGGGGCTCGTGTTGTTCTGAACTTCCTATTGGCACTTTTTAGCTAAAGCGAGATGAGCTCATAGAGAGTCAGTCACAGGATGATTACTGCCACCCTCCCTCTCTTCAGCTGTGTCCTGGGCTCATTTCAGCAGCTCTTCCCGGGCATCTTTGAGCCCCTGTTGAAATGGGGAGAGCCAGCGCATTAAGAACTGGAGCAGACCCACTAGCTCATCCAGGGCAGCCCCCTGCACGTTGCTCCCCAGTACCCAGCGCTTTGCTCAGCCGAGTTTCCAACGGCCCAAGCCGCAGGTCTCCCAGCCCATCCCGTGGGCCCCCGTGCCGCCGCCCGAGCCAGCTCGCGGCCAGGCAGCTTTCCCCAGCGGGCCCCGTCAGAGGCTGGTATCGGCCGTGTCGGATTTGGGCGGCAGGGCAGGCTGGGCGGCCGCGCCGGGCTGCGCGTCGCGGCAGAAGAGCACGGCCGGGTTCTTGCAGGCCCACACGGCCACCTCGCCGCCGCTGGCCGGGCTGGAGGAGGAGAGGGTGCTGGCGGCGTGGCCGCCGGGCCGCTGCCGGGCACAGCGCTCCCGGCCTGGCTCGGCCCGGCCGCGGGCCTCCAGGCGCTGGCCCCGGGCGGCCAGGGAAGCGGCCACGTTGTTCCTAGTCCGGTAGCCGCCCTCGCGGCTGCGGCCCAGCAGCATGGCGATGTTGGGGTTGCGGGCGGCGTAGACGAGCGGGTTGATGGCGCCGTTGGCCCAGGCCATCCAGCTGGCCACGGCGTCCACGGTGGGCGAGAAGGGCAGGTGGCCGGCGGCGGCCGCCAGCCCCAGGACGCAGTAGGGCCCCCAGCAGCAGATGATGGAGACGATCATGATGAGCACGGTGGTGGCGGTGCGCATCTCCCCGTAGCAGCGCAGCAGGTGGCCGTAGGTGGTGAGCGGCCGCACCCGGCTCTCGGAGAGGCGCACGGCCCGGCAGATGTTGTAGTGGCAGAAGCACATGAGGGCGAAGGGCAGCAGGTAGCAGAGCACGATCAGCGCCGCGCTGTAGGGCGGGCCCAGCCGCGACGAGCCCCAGGGCAGCAGCACGTAGGTGCAGCGGCCCGCGCCGGCCCCGTGGCCCGCGCCCGCCGCCTGGGCCAGCAGGTACCAGGGCGCGGCGAAGCCGAGCGCCGCCAGCCAGGCGGCGGCCAGCAGCTGGGCGGCGCGGCGGCGGCCCATCTTGCGGCGCGGCTGGCGCACGATGGCGCAGTAGCGGTCGAAGGAGAGCAGCGCCATGGTGAGGGTGGCGGCGATGCCCAGGCCGGCGTGCAGGGCGGCGCTGGCCAGGCACAGGCGCTGGCCGGAGAGCCAGGCGCCGCGCGGGCGGCTGAGCAGGCGCAGGAAGGCGAGGGGCAGGCAGAGCAGCGCGCCCAGCAGCTCGGAGAGCGACAGCGACAGCACGAAGGCGTTGGTGACGGTGCGCAGCTGCCGGTGCCGGGCGATCACCAGCACCACGGCCCCGTTGCCCAGCGCCGAGAGGGCGAAGATCAGCGCCAGCAGCAGCGCCTGCGAGGCCAGCGCCGCGCCCGACCAGCCCGCCTCCTCCGCCGCCCCGCCGCTCTCATTGGCCCCCGCCCGGGACAGGGCGCTCAGCAGCCCCGGGCTCGCCGACGGCGGCTCCATGAGCAGCGAGCATCCCCGTCCCCGCCGCCCCGGGGAGAGCGGCGGGCGTGGGGCGCACGCTCGGCCCGAGGCCGGCCAAGGGGTTGGGGTCCCGGCTGCTGCGGGGTCGCGGAGCCGCCCGTGTCGGGGGAGCCGCGGCTCGGGCTGCTGCTCCCTGCCCGGCCTGGCGGGCTCTGAGCCCTGCCTGCCGCGCGCCCGCGTCCCCTGCCGCGTGCGGGCTCCGGGGGCTCCGGGAGCCGCTGACGTCTCCAGCCCGTTGCCCAGGGAACCGACTCCAGCCTGCCAGACTGCGCACACGGCGCCCGGCGAGACTCAGCGGCCACCCCCGCGCTGCCGAGACCCCTGGTCACCCGCAGGGCTGGGACCATGCGCGCCCCCGACGCACACGGACACCCTCCGACAGACACCCCCAACAGACTGACACACATCCCCGACAGACACTCCCTGACAGGGACACCCCAGACAGACTGACACACATCCCCGACAGACACTCCCTGACACGGACACCCCAGACAGACTGACACACATCCCCGACAGACACCCCCTGACACGGACACCCCAGACAGACTGACACACATACCCCGACAGACACTCCCTGACACGGACACCCCCAACAGACTGACACACATCCCCGACAGACACTCCCTGACAGGGACACCCCCGACAGACTGACACACATCCCCGACAGACACTCCCTGACACGGACACCCCCGACAGACTGACACACATCCCCGACAGACACCCCCTGACACGGACACCCCAGACAGACTGACACACATCCCCGACAGACACCCCCTGACACGGACACCCCAGACAGACTGACACACATCCCCGACAGACACCCCCTGACACGGACACCCCCGACAGACTGACACACATCCCCGACAGACACCCCCTGACACGGACACCCCAGACAGACTGACACACATCCCCGACAGACACCCCCTGACACGGATACCCCCAACAGACACCCCCTGACACGGACACCCCAGACAGACTGACACACATCCCCGACAGACACCCCCTGACAGGGACACCCCAGACAGACTGACAGCCATCCCCGACAGACAGCCCCTGACACAGACATCCCCAACAGACTGACACACATCCCCGACAGACACCCCCTGACACGGACACCCCAGACAGACTGACACACATCCCCGACAGACACCCCCTGACACAGACACCCCCAACAGACTGACACACATCCCCGACAGACACTCCCTGACACGGACACCCCAGACAGACTGACAGCCATCCCCGACAGACACCCCCTGACACGGACACCCCCAACAGACTGACAGCCATCCCCGACAGACACTCCCTGACACGGACACCCCAGATAGACTGACACACATCCCCGACAGACACCCCCTGACACGGACACCCCCAACAGACACCCCCTGACACGGACACCCCAGACAGACTGACACGCATCCCCGACAGACACCCCCTGACAGGGACACCCCAGACAGACTGACACGCATCCCCGACAGACACCCCCTGACACGGACACCCCAGACAGACTGACAGCCATCCCCGACAGACAGCCCCTGACACAGACATCCCCAACAGACTGACACGCATCCCCGACAGACACCCCCTGACACGGACACCCCAGACAGACTGACAGCCATCCCCGACAGACACCCCCTGACACGGACACCCCAGACAGACTGACACACATCCCCGACAGACACCCCCTGACAGGGACACCCCAGACAGACTGACAGCCATTCCCCGACAGACACCCCCTGACACAGACATCCCCAACAGACCCTGACACACATCCCCACAGACAACACCCCCCGACACGGACACCCCCTGACACGGACACCCCCAACAGACTGACACAGATCCCCGACAGACACTCCCTGACATGGACACCCCAGACAGACTGACACACATCCCCGACAGACACCCCCTGACACGGACACCCCCAACACCCCCTGACACGGACACCCCAGACAGACTGACACACATCCCCGACAGACACCCCCTGACACGGACACCCCAGACAGACTGACAGCCATCCCCGACAGACACCCCCAGACACCCCAAAGATGACCCCCCCAACAGACAGCCCCTGACACAGACATCCCCAACAGACTGACACACATCCCCAACAGACACCCCCTGATGCGGACACCCCAGACAGACTGACAGCCATCCCCGACAGACACCCCCTGACACAGAGACCCCCAACAGACTGACACACATCCCCAACAGACACCCCCTGACACAGACACCCCCGACAGACTGACACACATCCCGACAGACACCCCAGACAGACGGACACCCCCAACAGACACCCCCTGACACGGACACCCCAGACAGACTGACACACATCCCCGACAGACACCCCCTGACACGGACACCCCAGACAGACTGACAGCCATCCCCGACAGATACCCCCTGACACAGAGACCCCCAACAGACAGCCCCTGACACCGAGACACCCCAACAGACTGACACACATCCCCAACAGACACCCCCTGACACAGACACCCCCCACAGACTGACACACATCCCCGACAGACACCCCCTGACACGGACACCCCAGACAGACTGACAGCCATCCCCGACAGACACCCCCTGACACGGACACCCCCAACAGACTGACACACATCCCCGACAGACACCCCCTGACACAGACATCCCCAACAGACTGACACACATCCCCGACAGACACCCCCTGACACGGACACCCCAGACAGACTGACACACATCCCCGACAGACACCCCCTGACACGGATACCCCCAACAGACACCCCCTGACACGGACACCCCAGACAGACTGACACACATCCCCGACAGACACCCCCTGACAGGGACACCCCAGACAGACTGACAGCCATCCCCGACAGACAGCCCCTGACACAGACATCCCCAACAGACTGACACACATCCCCGACAGACACCCCCTGACACGGACACCCCAGACAGACTGACACACATCCCCGACAGACACCCCCTGACACAGACACCCCCAACAGACTGACACCCATCCCCGACAGACACCCCTGACACGGACACCCCAGACAGACTGACACACATCCCCGACAGACACCCCCTGACACGGACACCCCCAACAGACTGACAGCCATCCCCGACAGACACTCCCTGACACGGACACCCCAGATAGACTGACACACATCCCCGACAGACACCCCTGACACGGACACCCCCAACAGACACCCCCTGACACGGACACCCCAGACAGACTGACACGCATCCCCGACAGACACCCCCTGACAGGGACACCCCAGACAGACTGACACGCATCCCCGACAGACACCCCCTGACACGGACACCCCAGACAGACTGACAGCCATCCCCGACAGACAGCCCCTGACACAGACATCCCCAACAGACTGACACACATCCCTGACAGACACCCCCTGACACGGACACCCCAGACAGACTGACAGCCATCCCCGACAGACACTCCCTGACACGGACACCCCAGACAGACTGACACGCATCCCCGACAGACACCCCCTGACAGGGACACCCCAGACAGACTGACAGCCATTCCCGACAGACAGCCCCTGACACAGACATCCCCAACAGACTGACACACATCCCCGACAGACACCCCCTGACACGGACACCCCCTGACACGGACACCCCCAACAGACTGACACAGATCCCCGACAGACACTCCCTGACATGGACACCCCAGACAGACTGACACACATCCCCGACAGACACCCCCTGACACGGACACCCCCAACGGACACCCCCTGACACGGACACCCCAGACAGACTACACACATCCCCGACAGACACCCCCTGACACGGACACCCCAGACAGACTGACAGCCATCCCCGACAGACACCCCCTGACACAGAGACCCCCCAACAGACAGCCCCTGACACAGACATCCCCAACAGACTGACACACATCCCCAACAGACACCCCCTGATGCGGACACCCCAGACAGACTGACAGCCATCCCCGACAGACACCCCCTGACACAGAGACCCCCAACAGACTGACACACATCCCCAACAGACACCCCCTGACACATACACCCCCGACAGACTGACACACATCCCCGACAGACACCCCCTGACACGGACACCCCCAACAGATACCCCCTGACACGGACACCCCAGACAGACTGACACACATCCCCGACAGACACCCCCTGACAGGGACACCCCAGACAGACTGACAGCCATCCCCGACAGATACCCCCTGACACAGAGACCCCCAACAGACAGCCCCTGACACCGAGACCCCCAACAGACTGACACACATCCCCAACAGACACCCCCTGACACATACACCCCCGACAGACTGACACACATCCCCGACAGACACCCCCTGACGCGGACACCCCAGACAGACTGACAGCCATCCCCGACAGACACCCCCTGACACAGAGACCCCCAACAGACTGACACACATCCCCAACAGACACCCCCTGACACATACACCCCCGACAGACTGACACACATCCCCAACAGACACCCCCTGACGCAAACATCCCCAACAGACACCCCCTGAAAGAGACATCCCCAGCAGACTGACACGCATCCCCGACAGACACCCCCTGACACAGACACTCCCAACAGACTGACCCATATCCCCAACAGACAGGCCCTGACACAGACATCCCCAGCAGACTGACACACATCTCCGAAAGACACCCCCTGACACACACACCCCCAACAGACACCCCCTCACACAGACACCCCCAACAGACTGACACACATCCCCGACAGACACTCCCTGACACAGAAACCCCCAACAGAAAGCCCCTGACACAGACATCCCCAGCAGACTGACACACATCTCCGACAGACAGCCCCTGACACAGACATACACAACAGACTGACACACATCCCAGACAGACACCCCCTGACACAGAAACCCCTGACAGACTGACACACATCTCTGACAGCCCCTGGCACAGACACCCCCCGACAGACTGACACACATCCCCGACAGACACTCCCTGACACAGACACCCCCAGCAGAGAGCCCCTGACACAGACGTCCCCAGCAGACTGACACACATCTCCAACAGACAGCCCCTGACACAGATATCCACAACAGACTGACACACATCCCTGACAGACACCCCCTGACACAGAAACCCCTGACAGAGTGACACACATCTCCGACAGACAGCCCCTGGCACAGACACCCCCGACAGACTGACACACATCCCCGACAGACACTCCCTGAAGCAGACATCCCTGACAGACTGACACACATCCCCGACAGACAGCCCCTGACACAGACATCCCCAACAGACAGCCCCTGACACAGACATCCCCAACAGACTGACACACATCCCCGACAGACACCCCCTGACACAGAGACCCCCAACAGACTGACACACATCCCCAACAGACACCCCCTGACACATACACCCCCGACAGACTGACACACATCTCCCAACAGACACCCCCTGACACAGACATCCCCAGCAGACTGACACACATCTCCGACAGACAGCCCCTGACACAGACATCCACAACAGACTGACACACATATGCAACAGACACCCCCTGACAGACACCCTCCCCCCATTAAGACACCCTTCAACAGACTGACACATATATATATACCCAACATCAGGGGCATGTGCAGAAATTTAAATTTGACCCCTTGGGGTCAAAATGTGCACCCCTGCGCTCCAGCAGGAACTCGCTCTCCTCCTCACAGCCTTGTGGCCAGGAGGCGCTCCCTCTCTCTGCCACCACGGTCCCAGGGCTGGAGGAGTTCTGTGCCCCCGACGATTATGGGGGGGTGTCCTTGTCCCCTTGTGCATGCCCCTCCCCAACAGACACTCCCTGCCAGACACCCCCAAACATAGACACCCCCAACAGACTGATATACATACCCAATGTGGCCACCTCGAACACACACACAGCCACCACCTGACACCCCCCACAAAACCTGCACAGACCCCCTGACCCTCAGCACAAACACACCCCAGCACACAGACCCCCCAACACAAAGACATACCCCCAATACACAGAGACACACAGGACACCCCCAACAGCAGACCCCACAACAAATGAAGAGACAGACAATATACCCCCAACATATAAACACACAGCCGCAGCACACACACAGGCATATCACTGACAGACCACCCCCCACAGATAGACACACCCCAACACAGACATACTCCACACAGACACCGCAACACAGAAACACACCCAACACATACCAAGACACCCTCCAACACACACACAGACACCCCAACACAGTCCCCAATACAGAGTCCCCGCCGTCAGAGACCCCCAACACAGCCAGACATAACCCAGACATCCACACACCCCAGCGCACACACCTCCAGCAGACAGACATACCCAACAGATGCCTTCCAGCACACCCAGACATACATACCTCCAACACACCCACCCACCCTGGAGACACACTCGGCACACAGACCCCCCACTCAGCAAATGACCCCCAATACACACACAGACATACCCCAAAGGCAGACACACAGAGACACCCACCCACCCCAAAACAGACACATACCGCCAACACACACAGACACTCAACACATACCAAGACACCCCACCACACACCCAGGAACCCCTCACCACACACACACACACCCCAGCACAGAGACAGCTCCCAATACACGCCCCCACCCCGGACAGACAGACATCTCCCCGCAACACAAAGATAGGGGCTGGGAGTAGCCACTACCCCCCAACACAGACACATACAAAGAGGTAGGACACCGGAGCAGCCGCCCTGTTGTCACACACACATATACACAGGGGCTGGGACCGTCGGTCCCCCCCATACACAGATACAGATGGGACTGGGACCACCCTGCCCTCACACATGCGCACCCCGTCCTGTCTTTCCTCTGGGAGCTGGGACTCCTCCCACCCCCCAGAATAGGACCTGAGACTGCTCCCTCAAACAGCCCCTCCTATCCCCCCAAGCAGATTGTGTGTATGTGAGGATCCCAGCACCCCTGACTGCTACTAGACACATAGCCCTGCATACAACACCCCCGAAAAGGCAGACATTCTCTGCAACAGCCCGGCTGACAACTGGCACAGGATTCAATGCCACGCAGCCGCAGCATGCATCCAGCAGATGTCTTCCTAGCCGCTGGCCCCTCGGAAACTTTTGTCCGAAGAATAGTAGATTGCCCTTCATAAAAACGCCCTTTGGATCTTTTGTCCATGTAACTGCAGGTTTAGATCCCCTTTGATAGCTAAAGGCGACTCATAATGCACAGGTTCATTGGTGCTGGAGAGATGACAGTATGTTGCCTGTTAAAAGCAGGCGAGTGACAGAAAAGGCCAGGGACTCAGCCCCACAATGGATAATAGTTTCTATTAATAATAAACAATGCCAAGGAACTAAATACTCGAGCTTCCAAATCCACACATGCTTAACTTTACTCATCGAACGTATAGCTATCCTGTGGAGAATTACTGGCAGGCATCCCTGCTCCTGAGATGTAAGGCCATCTTGGGAAGGCAAGCGTACAAGCCCTGCACCCCACTAGCGTGCTGGGACAAGTGCTCCCCCCCCCCCCGACCCCAAAGCTTACCAAGGGGAGCTGAGACGTTTCCCTCCATCCTTCCTCCCCAGAATAGATGCTGGGCTGGCACTCGCTACCCTGGCAGCCTCCATTACGCATGTGATTGTTTACGCAGCTGGAGCATGTAATGCAGCGACAGGACCTTTAACTCACAGCTTGGCTTTTTACTAGTACAAACAATTGCAAGGCAGTCGCACACAAAAGTCCATAAACACGAACCTACAGCTAATGGGTGTGACCGCCCTCAACTATACGGCACAGCATTTATACCTTTTGATGAGCACACGCTCACCACCAAAGAACTTAGCACCCAGCCATAGGGGAGACGGCCCAGGACACTGTTGTAGCAAGAGGACAGCTGGGCGCCGTGGAATTACACGGGTGGCCGAAACAGAATTTGCCCCCATCGACCTGTGCCTCCATGGCCCTGCTGACGAGCACACTGGCTCTTCCCTCCCAGCTTGGCATTTAATCTCCTGATTCTACTGTGCAGCCGCCGGCTCATAACTACAAATGGCTCCAGCGGCGGTTAGCTGCAGGGCTGATGCGTGTGTTACCCACGTCGCGCATGCATTGCCCTTTGGCTGGCAAGGCCATTACTGCTGGTCAAAGCACTGCTGAAACAAAGCGCCTGACTGGAGAAGCTACAGGGCTTCAGTTGCTCTGGCAATGGCTAGTTCATGAGCCAGCGGCGCTGAGCACCGACGAGAACCCGCACTGTCCAGGGGAAATGCAGTCGTTAACAGTGGGTTATTTTTTTAACAGCTCCACCACGTAGCTACAGCCCTAGACACAGAGGGGTGTAGAAACCTCACCGCCACTGCCTCCAAATTGCAGAGCCTCAGCCCCCTTGCTCAGCTATCACCTAGCCCTGTAGGCACCAGATCCGGGACTTAGGCTCAGCATTGTGCTGCCTAACGCCAGGCTGCCCATACAATGCATGGGACAAGTTCGGTGTCTACAAAAGGAATACATACAAGGTAGCACGAAAAGCTGGAACCCCCCCCCCGCCCAAGCTAGTCAGTAGGAAATACAGAGAGGGATGGGGGGACCTAAGCCCAGTCCCTCAAAAGGAGTTGCGGGGGGGAGGGGGGGGGCTAAATCTGGACATGAGGGAGGCATCTATCGCCTCTTGGGATGCACAGCTGTGAGCCCTCTCCCACAGTCCGGTATTTAAGCCAGGTCAAGCCTCTCTCACAAAAATCCAAGCCGGAGGGAATAGTGCCTTGCACCCTATAACTCAGTGGTGAGAGCACGTATAGTTCACAGCCTCACACTGCCTGATTTGGAGCAGATACTTGACTGCTGGTCTCCCATGTCCCAGGTGAGGGCGCCTAACCATGGCACGATAGGGTGTTCTGGGGTGATGGGTAGAGTTGCCAACCCTCCTGCTTTCAGCAGGCGTCTCCTGGAATCTCTCTCTCTCTCCCAGTGGCTACTTCAGCCAGACTCCAGATGTTGGGCACTAACAGGCTGGCGTGGCAGTGGAGTGAAGGCAGGCGCCACCCTTACCTGCCCTGCGCTGCTCCCAGAAGTGGCCAGCACCATTCCTGTGGACCATGGGAGTGGGGAAGGGGGTTTCCACATGCTGCCCCCTTCCCTGCGCGCCAACTCTGCAGCTCCCATTGGCTGGGAACTGCAGCCAATGGGAGCTGCGGGGGCGGTACCTGCAGGCAGTGGCATGCGGAGACACACCCCCCCCCCGACTCCCCCTGGCTAGGAGCTGCTGCCAGAGGGATGTGCCGGTTGCTTTGAGGAGCTGCCCGAGGTAAGTGTCGCCCCCCTGACCCCTCCTGCACCCCACCCACCTGCCCCAGCCTAGAGCCCGCACCCAAACTCAATGCTTTTTTTGCCTCTGTTTTCACTAACAAGGTCAGCTCCCAGACTGCTACGCTGGGCATCACAAAATGGGGAAGAGATGGCCAGCCCTCTGTGGAGATAGAGGTGGTTAGGGACTATTTAGAAAAGCTGGACGTGCACAAGTCCATGGGGCCGGATGAGCTGCATCCGAGAGTGCTGAAGGAATTGGTGGCTGTGATTGCAGAGCCATTGGCCATTATCTTTGAAAACTCGTGGCGAACCGGGGAAGTCCCGGATGACTGGAAAAAGGCTAATGTAGTGCCAATCTTTAAAAAAGGGAAGAAGGAGGATCCTGGGAACTACAGGCCAGTCAGCCTCACTTCAGTCCCTGGAAAAATCATGGAGCAGGTCCTCAAAGAATCAATCCTGAAGCACTTGCATGAGAGGAAAGTGATCAGGAACAGCCAGCATGGATTCACCAAGGGAAGGTCATGCCTGACTAATCTAATCGCCTTCTATGATGAGATTACTGGTTCTGTGGATGAAGGGAAAGCAGTGGATGTATTGTTTCTTGACTTTAGCAAAGCTTTTGACATGGTCTCCCACAGTATTCTTGTCAGCAAGTTAAGGAAGTATGGGCTGGATGAATGCACTACAAGGTGGGTAGAAAGCTGGCTAGATTGTCGGGCTCAACGGGTAGTGATCAATGGCTCCATATCTAGTTGGCAGCCGGTATCAAGTGGAGTACCCCAAGGGTCGGTCCTGGGGCCGGTTTTGTTCAATATCTTCATAAATGATCTGGAGGATGGTGTGGATTGCACTCTCAGCAAATTTGCGGATGATACTAAACTGGGAGGAGTGGTAGATACGCTGGAGGGGAGGGATAGGATACAGAAAGACCTAGACAAATTGGAGGATTGGGCCAAAAGAAATCTGATGAGGTTCAATAAGGATAAGTGCAGGGTCCTGCACTTAGGACGGAAGAACCCAATGCACAGCTACAGACTAGGGACCGAATGGCTAGGCAGCAGTTCTGCGGAAAAGGACCTAGGGGTGACAGTGGACGAGAAGCTGGATATGAGTCAGCAGTGTGCCCTTGTTGCCAAGAAGGCCAATGGCATTTTGGGATGTATAAGTAGGGGCATAGCGAGCAGATCGAGGGACGTGATCGTTCCCCTCTATTCGACATTGGTGAGGCCTCATCTGGAGTACTGTGTCCAGTTTTGGGCCCCACACTTCAAGAAGGATGTGGATAAATTGGAGAGAGTCCAGCGAAGGGCAACAAAAATGATTAGGGGACTGGAACACATGAGTTATGAGGAGAGGCTGAGGGAGCTGGGATTGTTTAGCCTGCAGAAGAGAAGAATGAGGGGGGATTTGATAGCTGCTTTCAACTACCTGAAAGGGGGTTCCAAAGAGGATGGCTCTAGACTGTTCTCAATGGTAGCAGATGACAGAACGAGGAGTAATGGTCTCAAATTGCAGTGGGGGAGGTTTAGACTGGATATTAGGAAAAACTTTTTCACTAAGAGGGTGGTGAAACACTGGAATGCGTTACCTAGGGAGGTGGTAGAATCTCCTTCCTTAGAGGTTTTTAAGGTCAGGCTTGACAAAGCCCTGGCTGGGATGATTTAACTGGGAATTGGTCCTGCTTTGAGCAGGGGGTTGGACTAGATGACCTTCTGGGGTCCCTTCCAACCCTGATATTCTATGATTCTATGATTCTAAACTCCCTCCCAGAACCTGCACTCCCTCCTGCATCCCAACCCCCTTCCCCAGCCTGGTGAAAGTGAGTGAGGGTGGGGGGGTGTCACGGAGTCCCTGGGCGATGATCTGGAACTGCTCCCCATGAAGCCAGTCAGGACTCTGGGGTAGTCGCCTTTCTGTGAGCAGCCTGTCTTCAGGACACACAGCTCACACAGCTTCCACCTTCCTGGGTCTGACCTCGGAGCATTCAGCATCCTCTGCCCCTCCGTGCGCTTCCCCCCAGCGAGTCCGCTCAGGCGGGGCTCCTAGGGAAGCCAGAGGGTCCTGCACCCCAACTTTGCAGTCAGACGTGACTCTCAGCCAGCCAGTAAAACAGAAGGTTTATTAGACGACAGGAACATGGTCTAAAACAGAGCTTGCAGGTGCAGAGAACGGGACCCCTCAGCTGGGTCCATTTTGGGGGGCAGTGAGCCAGACAACCCCGTCTGCACTTCACTCCATGTCCCAGCCAGCCCCAAACTGAAACCCCCTCCAGCCCCTCCTCCTCTGGGCTTTGTTCCTTTCCCCGGGCCAGGTGGTCACCTGATTCCTTTGTTCTCCAGCCCTTCAGCTCTCACCTTGCAGGGGGGGAAGGGCCCAGGCCATCAGTTGCCAGGAAACAGGGTGTCGGCCATTCTCTGTGTCCAGACTCCTGCACACACCTGCCCTCTAGGGCTCTGCAATGATCATACACCCTTACTCCACCCCCTAGATACTTAAGAACTGCCTAGGGGGAAACTGAGGCACCCCCACACTATTCAGAGGAAACATTAAGAACAGTCCCACTTCATCACAGGGGGCTCAGAGAAGGGGGCAGGACAGGGGCGAGGCCTCAGGAAAGGGGCGGGGCAAGGGTCTTTGGGTTTGCGCGATTAGACAGTTAGCAACCCTGGTGATGGTACCCCCTTCCTGCCTCCTTAAGCCCACTAGCTAGTGGTTAAAGCCCGCACCAACAACGTAGGAGACCTAGTTTCAAATCCCCACACTGCCAGCTTTGAAGCAGGGACTTGAAACAACATCGTCCACCTCCTAGGTGAGCGCCCTAATCACTGGGGCCTGGGGAAGGGGGTGTGCGTGCGTGCGCTTTTCTGTGTCTCTCCTGTTGAAGCTGCTTCACTTAGTCCAGTGATGCCCAAACTTTTCCTGCCGCGTCCCCCCCCACCTTACTAGTAATGGAAGCTGTCCGTGACCCCTCCATTACTGCACGGCTGGCTCAGCAGGGGAGTCGAAGGTGGAGCTGGGGACAGAACTGACGCTGGGGGAAGGCGCTGGAGCTAGAGGCGGAGCTGGCCTGGGGGGCAGAGCGGGACTGAGGGCAGAGCTGGGCTGGGGCAGAGTGGAGGTGCAGCTGAGGGCAATGCAGGGATGGGGTGCAGTGGTGCTGCAATTGGGGTGGGGGAAGAGTAGGGGGCGGAGTTGAGCTGCGGCTAGGGGCAGAGCTGGACTGAGTGGCGCCCCCATAGGGGTTGGTCTGGGCCCTGCCACATGCCCCCTCGAACATTCCTCCATGCCCCCTCAGGGGTGCGCCCCACAGTTTGGGGACTATTGACTTAGTCATTGGCGCAGGGACTGGAACCTGGGTCTCCCAGGAGCGTTTGCTAACCACTGGCTATAGTGTAATTTTCGCTCACTGGCCCAATGACTATTCAAGTATTAATACAAAGTGGAACCGCTCCAAGAAGCGGGATTAAAAGAGATCCACCCCTGAGTCATAGAAATGTCAGCAGGAAGGGACCTCAGGAGGTCATCTCATCCAGCCCCCTGCATGCGCAGGATTGAGTATACCTCCATCATCTCTGACAGTCATCAGCTGGGGCCTCATCAGTGCCACGTATGGTGGAAAAATCATCGCCCATGTCTTACCTACGACACCCCTGATAATAAGGACACTACCCTATAGCCGAGTGGATGGAGCATTCAGAGGGGAAGCTCTGGGTTCAAGGCCTGGCTCTGAATCAGGCAGTGCTCTGAACACTGGCCTATTGTGCATATGGGAAGGCACAGATACCACCCTCACGAGTGTCTGTAAAAAAGGGCTGACCTGGCTCTCTTTGGGGCAGGCTAACACCCACGGCCCTCACTATTTCCTAGTGGTACCTTAGGGTAGCTGCCCGCTTAGCTTGCTGGTTTCTGTGAATCTCTTTTTTAGGCACTTATCCCTCCCCATAGATTATATAGGGAGCCTGAGCACCTAACTATTAGAATCAATGTGCGGCTAGAAGGGACCTCAAGAAACCATCTAGTCCAGCCTTCTGCACAGGGGCAGGACTCAGAATACTTTGACCACCCCTGACAGGTGCTGGTTGTGGCTGTGGATTCCATTAGGTAGCAGGGTGCCTAAATATTAGGCTTTGTAGTTCTGAGCCTTTGGTGGATCTAGCCCAAAACATTTTGAAGATAAACCATTCTGGGCACCACAAAAAATTATAGAAACCTGCCGCCCCTGGCCACAGCAGAGGCACTGGGCTACTACATACCCACCAGGTTCCAGCCGGTTTGTTTTAGGCATAGCTCACCCATGCCCTCTGCTGCCGCTACCCATGGCTACGCTGCTGTTTATACTCATGCTAGCTCACGGCAAGTTTGTGTCGCTGTAGCCATAGACTTAGGGGATAGGAAAGGCAGAAATCAAATTGGCTCAAATCATTGTTAAGCTTTTTAAAGGACGATTCCACTGTTTTCCTATTGTGCATTCTATAGGTGGATAAATATGCCCTAGAGCTTAATTAAAATTGACAAACATTAAGAAATACCTCAATGCCTAAACTCCTTTCAAACTATGGATATCTCCTAGCTTGTTCCATGGAAGCTGCCATTTGCCTGCTAGGAACATCTCTTTCACCAACAGAAGTTGGTCTAATAAAAGATATGACCTCACCACCTTGTCTCATCTCCTAGGATCAATATGGCTGCAACATCACTGAAAACAGTAAGATACTCATTCTTCATTGAAATTAATAGAGAGATTGATCTCAAATGGAGATATCAGATACTATTCAATATATATTTTTACAT